TATCCTTTAAATATGAAATATTTTAATATTACAAAGAATTTACATATTTTAAAAGAATTCAAAATTTTAATTATTTAATAACCTGTTTATTGTAAATCATTTTATAAATTCCTAAAAATTAATTACATAAATAAGAACAAAATTTGTAAAACACTACAATAATTTATAGTATAAATAGGAATGCACATTTATATTGTTCAATATGTATAAAAAATACATATTTCATAGTTTCCACTTCATTAATACATATTTGAATGAAATTCAATTTAAGAAAGTATGTTCTAACAAAAAAAAAAAAAAGAAAATTTTTAAATATTCTAAGGAATTTTTATTGCTACAACATATAAGTACTATTACTTCAAAAAATATATATAATATAATTTATAGAAACGCAGTTTCAACATAATATTTTTTATTAGAAATATTTATATATATTACAATGACACCTATAATTATTAAATAGATTAATATATATTTTTACCATACATTAATATTCTACGGATTATTCAAATATTAAAAAATATATAAAAAATCATTATTAGTAAAATTAAAAATTCGAAAATTAAAAAAAAATAAATAAAATCCAGATTTACTATTGAATACAACCATAATATATATCAATCTAATAATGAAATCAATTAAGGAATTCTTAATAGAAAAATATAAAGCAGAAAATATAAACTAAAATATGATACATACATAAATAAATTTGAATAGCAAAAATAAAATATATTTATATAGATAAAATTATAATGTAAATATAACAATAAATTAAGCTATAATGCAGAATATCCTATATCCTGAACAGAGAATCCTAAATCCTGCACACTAAACTTGAAACCTGAAACATAAATCCTGAATCATGAATATATAAAAGCATTTAAGATCTATAATTTATTTTTTTTTATCATTGAATACAAAAAATATAATTAATGCTGAATATGATAATAATAAATTATATATTGTTTTTTTATATTTTTTATATAATAATTTTATTTTTTTTCATCAAGATAAAAAAACTGTCTTTATTAATTTTTATATGCTTTTTATATATATGTTTTTTTTTGTGTTTTATTTAAAATAAAATTATCTTTTCTTTATGTGGAGCGTTTTATAAATCGAATGCAAAATAAATATATTCATGCATTATATATTTCATTGCATTAATCAGTATCAATACTCTTTTGATAATTGAAACATGATTTTCTCTTATAATACAGATAATATTATTTAATAGCACGATTTTTTTTTTTTCTTTAAAATTTTTATTAGTGTAAAAAATGACTTATCTTATATGCATGTCATATATATATGTTATTATGCCATCTATTATAAATATGAATATAAATTACTTAGTTTCTCTACTTGTTGACATAATAAATAAATTAATTATATTATTATTTATGTTTTAAAAGAAATAAATATTTTATCTGAGTATAATAAGTATAAACAAGGATTTAAAAAAATCTTTAAATACTAAGGGTATTATATACTATAAATTGTCTTAAAAAGATTTATGTTTTCGTGTAAATAAATTATTATTTCTTATTACCAACATTTTAAGATAAATTGAAAAATTCCTTTACATATAATAAATAATGTCTTCATAAAAGTTGTAACATTTTAGGAAATTATTTTTTGCGTGTTATTATGGATATCATAATTTTTCTATTACAAAATAATATGCTTAAAAAGAATTAAAATGTGTTCATAATGTTGTAAATTGTTTTTTGTGTATCAGATAAAGATATACATAATAGAATAAATTATTAATTCAGGATAATTAAAAACATCATAAAAAATAATCTATAAACTAAAATGATTATATATGTTACTTGCATTCCCCCAAAAATATAGTCTACAAAAAAAAGAATCATTATAAAAGAAAATAACAAATATATACATAATCATATTAAGAAATTACAGTAAGCATTTAAATAAAACTACAAAAAATTTCCTCATAAAATAATTAAATATAATTTTATTTCATTTTTTCAAAATATATATTGTGCTATTACAGTTTATTTTATGTATATATATGTTAGTTACAGATAGAGGGTTATGCACTTATAGGTCAATAATTTTAATTATAATATAAGAATTCATTGGAATAATTAAAAACAATTATAGTAATTTATGTATTTCATAATTACAGGAAATGTGCCGTATAGAATGATAATATATAAATGTATAAAATATATATTTCTTTTTTTAATTTTATTCATATATATATTTACTTTAGATATGTTCAATAGATAATAATTTATTTATTTTATGATAAAAATGTAACTATAATTTGTATATATAATTTTATTATTGCACACACATAAATGAGATTAATAAGAACTCTTTATGCATGATTATATATATCCTTAGTATTTGTTTTATTATTAATATTATTTCATGTAATATATCAAACTATGTAATAATTAATACAGAAAAAAAACATATGTCATAAAGAATAAATTTTAGAATATAATGGATACATTAATGCTTTTTTTATTCATTATTCTAAGTATATGTGTGTTTTTAAGATTTGATATATGTGTTTTTCCCCTTTTACAGATCTTTATACTTTTTAATACGATAAAACAGAAATAGGAAGTGTAATTTATGAAGAAAAATAGAATATACCTCTCTCTACATAAGAAATTAAAAGCAGTAATTATAATATATAACATATTCTATATTTCAAATCAGATTTGCATTTATTCAGTATTTAATTATAATTATCCAATCATGGAAATAGATAATACAATATAAAAATATATTATATTTTTACAAGGAAAATGATTTTGAAATATTAATATAAGAAATATATGATTTATAATATATTTAATTATGATAATTTTTAATAGTTCTTCCTATAAACCATTGGATTGATCAAAATTTATGCTGTTCGTAGAAAATATTACATGTTCTTTCAAATCATATATTTTGTATTATTCTAATAGGAAGCTACATATTTAAATAAATACTAATTATATTTATTACAAAAATTATTATTATACTTTTTAATTTAATTATATATATTACGGATATTCATTGGTTGTGTGAAAAAAATAAATGAAGAAAAAATATAGTGGACAAAAGTATTAATTAAAATGATTTAAATAAATTTCATAAAATAATTTGTTTCCTAAATACTGTTAATTATATATATGAATAATAAAACAAATATAACATCTATTTCTTTAAAACATATATATTGAATTAATATAAATATACTCAACTATAAGTATATGTATCCTTAAGAGTTATTATATTCCCTGTGTTTTCGACAGACTCCATTGATATGTAACACGCATAATAATGTTAAATTTGTACTCCACATTATTTATAAATTATATTCTCTTTGTTTAAAGAATTTTTAGTCGTATAAGATAAAAATTCAAATGAGTTCACTTCATAAACATACATAATAGGTATGCTTATAATTAGTGAAATTCCAGTTCTTACTATTTATGTTTATGTCTTAAGAATGATAAAATTTTGGTAATGAATATAATTTTTGCTTTCAAATATATACAATATTTGTTATGAATATTCCTTATTTAATTTTATTCATATACGCATTTTTTCATTTAATGAAGCATCAAATTTATCATAACATTAATGTATATAATAAGGTATTATATACTTTTAATAAAGATATATATGTATTTTTAATTTTATTAATAAATAAAAACGAGCTAATTTTACGTGTAATCATTAATAATAAAAAGTAACTTTTTTAATACATATTCAAAAATAAAGAATATGGTAATAATTAAATATGTGAATTATCCGGAATCTTTTAGTAAGCGTTAAATTTTTTGAATGATAAAAAAGGTTAAGTGTGATTATATGTATACAGATGTTAATTATGTCCTATTCATTTGTACGTAATAAAATTATTTTTGTTTTTATATATTACATTAAAAAAAATTTAATATTTTTATTATACATTTTATTATGTTATAATATTATAAATAGATGAATTAGATTCTTTTTATATTTAGGTTAAATTTAAAAATATACTTAACTTTGTTTCTTATTTATTTCAAAATAGAATATAACTATTACAAATACAAGGTACTTAAAACCTAATAATTTTTTTATGTTTGAATAATGTAATATTAATTCTACGTAAACAAAATATACAGTAGAGAAATTTTAGTCATGCACTTCTTATATTTTATGTAAAAACAGAAGAAAAATTGTATTCTATGTAATGAAAAAAAATATATTTACTTTTCAATATTATATAACTTCCATATGTTATCAAATTACTAACCATTATATAAATTGTAAACATTTAATACAATAATTTCCAAAAATAAAAAAAAATACATTAAGGAAAATAATAATAATAATAAATTAATATGTTAATTTTTGTGTCCTTCCTTTATTAAAAGAATATATATTAATTAAAATTTCACACGTTATTGCTATAAATATTTGATGATCTTGATATATATTTTATTAAAGAACAATATAAACATATAAAGACAAGCAAATGTTAAAAATAACAATTTTTTTTTTTTTTAAGATATTTGAAATTTCACTTTTAATATTGCATTAAAGGATATGATCTTATAAACATAAATAATGTTTGTCAAATATATTTATAAATTGCCATAATTTATAATATTCCTTTTCTTCTCTATATAAAAAATTGTTATTTTATTTATAGAATATATTTTTGTGACGAAAACAAAACGTATTCATATAAACCATAGAATATTGTCCAAATGATGGAAGAAATTTATAAACTGTATTTTTATTCACTAATATTGTAATGTGATGAAATTTTGACAGTAATTTTTTTATATATATATTGAGACATTTTAATAAATTAACAAATTAAAATAAGAAATATTTCTCCTATAATATAAGCGCCATTTTATACTTATATAAAAACCATTAATAGAAATATTATCCATTAATATTTTTACAAATGTTATTATACAGACTAAGGAAATTTTTTTCTTTTACGTTTAATAAATTTTATCGTGTAATTAAGCATAATTATATAATACATTATAACTGTTATTCCCTGAAGTATTTTTATATATTTCAGGTGATTGCATCATATTGAATTTATCATATACATTGTTACTTTCATTTCTTTTCATTTTTGTAGCCAACCTTAAGTATGAGCCGTATGGTGTGAACTATTTCATAATAAAAAAAATTTAGCAATTAAAAATATAAATGATTTAAAGTAAATTTTATTTTTCTTAACTATTTGAAAATATATTTTATAGCATAAATATATATAAACAATGTTATTATTAACCTTATGTATAACCAATAAAAAGAGTGATATAGCTAAAATTACAATAATAGGAATAATAATTGAAACTATGATTTTATTCTGGCTATTGTGTAATACTTTTGGATTACAATCCTGATTATTATTGATTAATTTTTGTGGATTATATGTTTTTATAATATTTATTACTACATTACAATATTCAATGTTTTTATCAGGTTCACATTTTTTTTTGCTGAAACTGACAATTTTATACATGTCATATAAATATTTGAGTTCTTCTATTTCAACGTTATCAATATGTTGATAAAGAACATCCGAGGAAGAGTGCCTAATAAGACTATTATTATATAATTCAATCAATTCTTTGTAAAAATTTTCTATATTCTTATTTCCAATTTCATTTAAATTATAACTACGTAGCCATATATATAAGTATTTAAAAGCAGCTTGATCTAATGTGTTATATGGAAGTTTAGTAAAAATTACACTTAAATATTGCATTGCTTGTTGGCATATTTCTTGAATTTTAGAATCCTTAATACCTAATATGTTATTTTTAATCTTCTCACATTCATTTTCCCAAATAACTTTTTTATTATCATGTTTACATATATTTATAATTTCTTCACATTGTGGAAATAAAGAGAACACATAGTTATACTAAAATTAAAGAAAAAATGTAATTATACGATAAGAATTATATCATGTTGTGTAAATATGTATAATTCATATTAATAATGCCATAAAATATTATTTAAATATCATATTTCATGTTATAATTATTGATTTATACCATATACTCCCGCATCATGTATTACTAATATGCACTTATACTTGAACAAAATAAAATAAGGATATTTATTATTACGAAAAAAATATTTTGTGAAGAATTATATATAATCATAAGTAATATGTTGATACTACCTATTATAATAATTGAATTTATGTAAATATTCATAATCTCATCTGATGATTTATAATTATAACGCCTAAAATATAGTATTAATAGAATAAACAATGAATATATGCATTTAATTAAATTTAAAAAAAATTTTAAAATATTATTTCGAAAAAAAAATTAATTCCTTATTAAAATGTAATGGAAAAAACATCTAGCTTTAACTTTATATTTTACTGACCATTAAATCCCTTATTTGTATAAAAATAATGATTATTATTATAAATTTTTTTAATTTAAATCCACATTTTATAACAATGATTCAAATAACATGAAAAATAAATTTTTATTATTTTTAATATTACTTAATTATATACACTAAATTAATATTATGATTGTATATATATAGATGTATGATATATAGCTCATATATGTTAACCTATGTTTGTTACATAATGGAGGTATTATATCATTAAAATTGAAATAAATTCTTCTTAGAAAAATCATATATAATATATAAATATTATCATTGTCCATTCATTTCAGTTAAATGCTATGTTTTTAATATTTTTCTTATATGAAATATATAAAATATTTTAAACAAAAATGCACAAAAAAAAATACTTATTTTTTTTATATTATATCATTATTGAATAAAAATTCATTATTTTACATTTCTTACACATATATTTTTTTTTTCAAGTATAGATTCAATTAAAATTAATTTACTAATCATATAAATGCATGATTTATAATATGCAACGTTGCAGGAATTATTAATTTTCTACTTTATAACAAAATAATTGAAATTATATTATTTTATAAATATATCATTATTATAGGGATTATTTAAAATTACATTAAATTAAATACATACTTATGCTAATTTATTTATTTTTTTTAAACATTTCCTTACTGTAAACAAATATATATTTATATTTAAAATATACAATTGTATTTTTATCATTGTCTTGGAATCTTATTCTGCCAATTTTAACTATAAAAAAATATATTCAATCATTTGTATTTTAATGTTAAATTATAGTGTTGTTTTTATTTTATATAGTTAATGAAACTATTGATCATTCCGCAAAAAATGTATTAGGGTAAATGGAAGACATTCATATTAAAAATAAGTTAACTCTGTGAAATAACAACAAACGGGTTAATTAATTAATTATATATTGATGAAAATAAAGATTAATATAATGGAAATATATAAACTGATTGAAACTAAGATAGTTAGATTAATAAAATAAATTATGCGTAGAATGATAAATAACTTGAAAATCATAGATTGAATTTTAGAAAAAGAATTTTTTAAAAAAATTAACAAAAATATGCATGATTAAGGCACTAATATTTATGAAAAAATAATATAGGATACAAAAACCATGATGTTTTTTCTTCTCCAGATGGTATTATATGTACACAATGATTTTTTTATAATAGACAATAGCCACAAAACTGACTTACTTTTGGTCATGTAATAAGTCGCTTACTATCTTTAATCATTCTCATAAAAAAATTCTATAATACAACGTATTACATAAATAAAACTATATGTTTATAGTAACTGATTAAATTAATTATTTTAATTAGTCTATTTATAATATGTGTCTCCTTGTAAAAATATTAATGTGGTTATATGATTAATTATACATTGATAAAAGCTTAATAGTTGTGGTACAAACATATATTATCTTGAAGTTTTATATAATAAACATTTATATATATAAGTATATTTCATAAAAATAATATGCAGTGACATTTTTATCATACTATATTGCCTTTATTTTAATATAACTTATTAAATGCACTTTTAAATATGCACTCAGTTTTTCAAGAAATATACTTATATATGTATGCATATATGCAGATATTTCAAAACATATGTTTTTCATTTATATACTGTCAACTATTTTTTTTCTAATTATATGCAATTTTTTGACATTATTATTTGATCTATATGTATGATAATTACTTTGAAACCTTATATATTTAATATAAACGTTAGTAAATGATTATCATTTTCAGTAGTTTAACATGAGTTTTGATTGATTTCATAAAAATACAACACAATGAAAAAAATTAATGTGCTTTATTTTAAAATTTTAGCTGCCTGATATGATTAATTATGATAAATAAAATAAATATGTTATTCATATGAATAATATCATGTAAATTTATTCATATTTATATTATTCATACTATTGTACATTAAAATTTTATTATAATAAAAATGTTTTCACAGAAAGATGAATGTGTTACTAATGATTTTTTCTAAATTATTAGTATAAGAAGAATCTGAGTACCAAAATTTAAATTAAAAATGACCTCAATATGATGGAAAATTTATATAAATATTATACATTTATGATGAATATAAAGATAAATCAGATATGTTTTTAGTAAAGCATAGAGATATATTTTTGCTATATGTCATAAAAGAAGAATAATTATAATCCAAAATATTATTGTATATAAATTAGTTATTAAGGATATATTAAATTAAATTAAAAGAAGTTATTTTTAATCTAGAATTATAAAAAACCTTCTTGTATGCAGTTATCGAGATATTATTGAAGATAATCTTATTATATGTGGGTTAAGAAATAAACTTCTAATTAAATTAAACATTATTTGATATTAATAATTATATGATTCATAATAAGACATTATCATGATGTTAATGTATGTTTACTTATTCAATTATATTTTTACATTATTAATATTTATAATTTTGATACATGTTAAAAGATATGTGATAAAAATAAAAAAAAAAAGGAAAATAAAACATTATGTATCATTTGATGGGTATGATCCATGAATTCAAAGTTAATATTACTGATTATCTAAATATATACTTATAAAAATTATGTAATTCTTCAATCCAATTAATATATGTAAGAATAAACTATATAATATAGCATATAAATTAAAAATCTTTGTATTTTAAATAGATTATAGAGGTTTTATATATAATTACTATAATGAAAATATATAGAAGTAATCATATAAAAATATATATTTTACAACAAAAATATAAATATTATTTATTTAATTAAAATAATTATATGTTAATATTTTTTGTATTTAGCTAATATAAATTTTTTAATAAATATAACTGTATATTATGTAATACATATATTTTGTTTAATCATATTATGCTTTTTGAAATTTCATATATTTATACTGTATATTATATATAATGTATAGTACATCCTCTTTAGTTTATGATATTTTTATAATATATTATAGAAAAAAATAATATATTTCTCATTAAGACATTGCTTTAAAAAAAAATTAATAGATTTATAATATAATATACCAAAAAGGAAAAAAAAAAAACATTATATATTGATCCCTCTTTTTCGCGTAAATGAAAAATTATATTAAAATTTATAGAGAATTAAAAATATGTTTTCGTTATACTTAATCTCCTAAAATATAATAATGTAATAATTAGGTTAATAAAAAATTAATAATTTTATTTACTCATATATTAAATATAAATTAAAATTTATATAAATTAATTTATAAATAAAAAAATATTATGCATACAAAAGTGGTTAAAAAATATAAAAAATATTTTAAATGCATGAAAGTATTTCCTCATGCAAAATATTTATCTGATATATTGCTTATACAGTTCCGTTTCAATATTAAAATCATATCTAAAGTGTTATGTGAATGTAATATTATGAGAATATGTAATATAATACACTTCTAAGTAGAAGTAATTCATTTTACACAGTTACTATCCTTCATTTATGTAAAATGACATAAACGGTAATGCTTATATTATTTTACATACAAATTTTTCCTTACGGTATAGAGAGTAAATATAAATTTACATCAAGTAAAACACAATAAATATAATGATTATAAAAGTATAAAAATCTCTTTCTTTTTCAGTAATGAACGTCAAATATATAATGTAAGTATATTTATTCCAAATTTAATATCTTTCTTGTACGCAGTTATATTTCATTAAATATTTATATAATTTTAGAATAATAACATAACATACTAGAAATATATATATAATAAATATATAATATATTACTGATGTGATATTATTCCAATTCTTCTAATTTATGATTTTGTCATAAAATTGATTTTTTCATAATATACATATATTTTATACGTACTAAAATATATCAATGCATTTATAATATTCATTTTCATTCTATTTGAATTCCATATGAATAATTATTTAATATAAAAGCATATATAAATACTATATGTGAAACATAGCTATAATTCATTTTAATTAACATTATAAATATCCTATCATTAATTTATACATAAAAAAAGGAAATTTACTAATATAAAAAAAACCTAAGCCCTTATCAAGCTTGTGCCATTTTTACATAAGAGTAAGATACCAATGCTAAAAGAAGATAACATTTTATTCTAATATTTCATATTATGTTATATATAATAAAGAAAAAAGTCGATAAAAAAGAATTATATTTATATTCTAAATTGTAATATATTAATTCTACGTAAGTTTCACTGTAATGAGAATATTTAAAACATTATTGAAGTATATATTACACTATTCTTATAATGAGATATAAAATGCGCTTATTTTTTTAAATGATACAACTAATTCTTTTATTATAATGCTAATATAATTATAATATATATCGAAAAAGGCTACTATTTTATGGTAGGATATATAGTAATACATTATTTTATAAATATAAATCAATTCTATACAAAATATCGAGTTATAAATGTGGAAATAGTTACCCACTTCCCAAATATGATACTATAGTTAAATCATCTATATATTCTGGTCTATTAATATAATTATTTACTTTATTTTCGGATTAACGTAATATAGTATAAGATGCACGAAAATACTGTATGCTTGAATTGTTATAATAAAAACTGAAATATCATAATATTTTTATAATAAAATTTACAGATCTATTATAATAAATAATTTCAAATGTATATAATTCTTTTCATCATGTAATTTTTTTATTATTTCAGTATAAAATAGCGGAAAGCATTTCTGAATTTAATAGAATTATAGAAAAATATAAAACATGTAATGACCTTAATGACAATATCATAATAAATTGTAGGGATAATATTCTTAAAGAATTTTCTGATAACATTGCAAATAAAAACATTTTAACATGTTTTACTGCAATTTCATTTTTAAATGAAGTACATACTAATCAAGGTATGTCGTTAGAAGAAACAGCTTGCAAATACTAGTATTATTGGATATATCACGAACTTAAAAAAAATGATAATAGTAATTATACCCAAGATTTTTATGATAAAATCATTCAGGAAGCTGATTTATCTATTTACACTATATGCAATAATTATTTTACTTATACAGATAATGAAATGGAAAGGCTGAAAGATGCATATGATATGCATACTATACTTAATGATATAGAAATTGATGCACCACACTGTAATAGTAATAGGTGTGAATGTACCACGAAATGTTCTAAAATATATATGAATTACTGGGATGAATGTGTGAGAAATAATGACTCAGATTTTTGTAATTATCTAAAAATTATTAGAAATAAGTTTTATTCTTTAAAGTTACCTTATTACTGTGAAAATAATATACCTGAAATATTATCATATTCAGAAATTCAACAAAGATCATTAGGTCAAATACAAAAACACAACAACAAAAAGAATATTATAATTACAATTCTTGTAACATTATTAATTTCTCTTATCCTATTAATTTTTTATAAAGTTAATCACACTTTTATTTATTTATATACATACCATAAATAATTTGTTTTAAATAAATTAATAAATAATAATTTTTCCTTAAAAGAAAATTATATTCTAAATATAAAAATCAATGTGAATTAGTTTTCAGAATATGGTCCCATATTAAGCCGTTTCGTAAAAGGGGAAAAAAATATGCTATATTATATGGATGAAGAGTGGAATAAATTGCAAGAAACTAAACATTTCAACACCATGTCAACAAAATCGGGACATAATATACTATATTTTTAACCTTAGTTTTGCTAATGAATAGAAAAAATTGTATTTTTTTAAACGATCTGATAGTTATTGTTATAAAATTATGTAAATATTTTTAGTCATAACATATTCTTAAAAAAATAAAAAATACAATAAGATGTATAAAAAAAAAAAAAAAAAACATAAATATGCGTGTACACAAGAATCTAATATATGTAAATAAATAAGATAATAGTACAGTGAATAAAACATAACCGTTCATAATGATTAAATATATTATTTACAAATGTCGTGCGTTTCATATTTTCACATATTATAGTTTCTACAAATATTTTGTCTTTACATTTGCTAACAGTACATTATAAGTAAAATAATAATAAACATTATATATGCTATTATAATAATAAATATGTAAATATATAATTATGAATAATATTTAATATACTTAAGATAAATTATTTATTTATAGTGATTCCATATTATTCTATAGTTTCATATAGTATTGTAAAACAGTGCGTTATAATTTATTAATGTACATATTTAAGAATAATTTTTAATTATATTTGTTATTTTAATTCTCATAGTATATTATAATATCATTATTTCTTTTGTTTTCTCACATTTATAATATTAATATTTAGAATTTTATTGCAGATATGTTTATTATTATTAGTT